TTTTGGATTCAAAAGCTTTATAAGGTGAGTGGTTTCTAAATCCTTTTGTATAAAGATTTTACTGGTTTTATTTGCACGCTTCATATTGTTCTTATTTGGAAAGAAACCATGATTATTTTGTTTAAGTGTTTATCCGGACAAAGGGTGACCGGATTAGAGTTTATTGTCCGGATTGTTTTAAACCGGACAAGTTTTAAACGGTTTAGTGACCGGACTAGTTTAAACCGGACAAACCATGAGCGGTTTGTTGTCCGGAGTTGGTAAACCGGTTGAGTGTTGAGCGGTTTATAATTAGTAGTATTACTTATGATTTTATACTGAGAAGTAGGAATACGACCAYATGGGGAGCGGTTTATTTTTAAACCGGACACATCTTGAGCGGACTATTGTCCGGATTAGATATCCGTWTAATATGAAATTGTTCTTAAGTGTTAAACCGTTCAACAAGTGTGTGATGTGTTGACCGGACTTGATATCCGGACAAAGTGGACTTAAATTCTAAGTGTTTAATCCGGATGATGTTTGGCCAGATTGTTGACCGGTTGTTGACCGGACTATGTTAAAAATGTTTTGATGGGAATTCTTTTATCATAAAAATGAAGTTTTGATTTAAATGTTTTCAGACTGATAATAATTCCAATGACTGCGGTCTATTCGGAATTATTTTATAAATGTTTTGATGAAGAGATAAGGGTGGCATATCAAGGATAGGTGTCCATTTGATATAAGGGTGGCATATCAAGGAGAGGTGTCCATTTGATATAAGGGTGGCATATCAAGGAGAAGTGTCCATTTGATATAAGGGTGGCATATCAATGAGAAGTGTCCATTTGATATAAGGGTGGCATATCAAGGAGAGGTGTACATTTGACATAAAGGTGGCATTGTCTTTGTGTGATATTATATAACACTTTCTATTATATCCCWTAAGACTABCGTGATCTGGAATCTTTATTTCTTTGTGATTTAAAGATTTAGGATCAAGGTTCTTATTGGAAATCATAGTCTGGATGTTATTGAGAAGGAAACGTCAGGTTTGGCCTGAATCTTTGTTTAAACCTTAATTGATAAAGAAAAGATTTAAAATGGTATTAAATGGAACCCGATTGGTTCAAATGTATGGAATTTGTATAGCTACGTGGTTAGCTTGAAAGTGGAAAAGGATTTRATATTACCTTCTTGCGTATTCATATATTTGTGATATATGTGAATAATTGTTTTATAAAGGTTTTGTTGATCCTTCACCCTGCAATTACATGATTAGGGTAACTCACTAGACTTTTCAGTCTAACCCTTGTTTTGTGATTTTAAAATGTGTATTGCAGGAGGAGTAGAAGGTAAAGGAAAAGAAAAGATTTAATGTTTTTCTTATATGCATTTTGGATGAGGAATTGCTTCTGATGATTAGTTTTGTTGTTTAGTACAAGATTGTATTTTGAAATTTTTGGACCTTGTATTGGTCATGATAATATTCTTGTACTAATGGACCCAGATGTATATGAATATGTATTTCTTTGGTATGAAATATGTGTTACATGCAATGTGTGGGTCGGGTGTTACATTTATCTTTCCTTTATTATTATTTCTTTTTATTTAGATCACCAAACAACCTATTGAATCACAAATATTATCCAAGAAAACCATAAAATGGTACTTGATTGGTTTGAGTTTGGCTCAAACGATCACCAGGAGGTCCCAGATTCAAATCCAATGAGGAATAAAAATCTCCTTGTGGCCACGGAGGTTCAAATGCGTTGACGAGAGGTTATCTGCAAAGCAGGTGATTATCCTGAAATTAGTCGGCTCGTTAACGGGTTGAATATCCAGGTTAATGAAAAAAATATTATCAAGTATCCATTCCTAAATTACAATAGTAGTATACTTCTTACAAATAAACCGAGGGAAAAAATGTGAATTGCGTTCATTATTTTTAGTGAATATTCCAGTCCCACATACCTATAGGGATTGTCGATGTAATCTTCGCTTTTTCAGTTCTTATTTTTTACTGATATTATAATTATATTTAATAACAATCCTAGATACATTATACATGCATATATCTATATCTATACTATATTATAATGCATTTGGTTAAAACTCTTAAACTCTTAAAACTCTTAAACCC